CTTTCTCTGTGCACATGGCCAAACACATGCTCAAGAGTTTCACTGTTCTAGAGTCTGCACACACAGGTATTTTTCTGACATATTTCAGCCTGCCTCAAACTTCATTTCCACTCATCTGCCTAAAAACCCATCTTGTGTATGGAACTATCACGCTTTCATAGCAGTGAAGTTGTATTGTGAGAAACAAGCTCCCCTGCCTTCTACAGTGATGAAAAGGAAACATGAGAAAAACCCATCAGCTATATACACAGCTCCTTCACTTTTTGCCAAAAATCTAATGTTCAGTTTTCCAGCAAGAAGCAAGGTATATGTTAAAACCACTGAGATTTGAAGTGTCACAAGATTCTCAGAATTCTTAAATAGAAAATTAATTGCTTTTACAATGGAGACATTTTTAGAATTATCTCAAAATATCAGTTTAGTTTGTCCTTGATATAAAAGTGGGCATTTAAAAAGGAACTTTTACTCAGCATAGCCCCAAATCTTTAACTACTACATGCTTTTTGATGAACTTCCAAATACAGGGTACAGTGCTTTTCGGTTATCCACGAAGTGAAAGAAATAATACAAATTAAAATCTACCTAAAAATCACCGATTTATATTGCAATCTGATCCACAGATACTTTTACACTGTCAGAGTCCCCACTGGCTTCTGCAAAATACAGCCCAAATTCTACCTTTGAAAATTAAACTGAAAATCTGGGAACCTGTAGCTCCCTTAAGGTCAAGGGAAAACCCAGACCCATTAAGGCCTTGGTGTCTCAGAAATTGTGTTTCCCTTAAAAACAAACCAAAAGAAAATTAGAAAGGAAACACAGGCTTTCACACCTATCACTGAGTTCAACCACAGTGTTTTCCACTGAAAATGCTGAACATACTGTCGGCAGATTAATTAGCAACTTCTGTTGTCAAAGAAAGGCTATACAGACCAACTTACTTTTGAAGAAAAAGTACGAAATACTTCCCAAATAATATAAAAAGTACAATTACAATTGTTCCATAGGAAGGAGGGAGGGTGTTCGACTTAGTGTTGTTTAAAATATTAAATACTTATCTTACCTTTCCCTGCACAAAGCATATTAACATAGCAATCACACAATCCTTATTTTTGAGCATTTCTCTCATTACTCATTTCTCTCATTATTCAATTTTCTAGGAAAATTGCTTCAACTTCCTTTTTTATTTTTTCCAGGACATCACAAGAAAAAAGTTCTTCCTCTTGTCCCACCCTCCTCCTCTAACTTCTGAGATCGGGAGAACAATCCAACTGCTTTAAAACTGAAATACTGACAAGAAATCTACAAAATAATTTTCAGGTTAAGGTACAAAATTTTTATCAGCTTTATTTTAGAACTGATACGTTACGAGCTGTAAACGCAGTCTTTTGCTTTTGTGTTCAGCACAAAAGAAGAAACATCTGACACAACCGCACTAAGCATGTGCTGCCTAATCATCCCTCATCCTACAAGCACCTTTACAAACATGACTTCCCCCTTTACCAAGCACTATATTTCTCCCCTGGGAAAAGTAATTTGAAAGACAACGTTGCACAGCACAGATTTACAGAATGTAGGTGGTCCAAGGCAGAAGGTCAAAGTTAAGCTGAAGATCTAACATCTGACTTTTGCTAGAAGGTATTAATTTAGCTGTTTTCAGATTTTGAACCTTCAGCATACTTGTAAGTACAAGAGTAGATTCCACTCTTACCGAAAAACTCACACAGAAAATTAATTCAGTGTAACATGTACAGCCTTCTCAGTATTATTTTCCGGTCCTTCTCTATAAAATTAAGTACTACAAATTTCTCCCATGGAAGATTTTCTCTGCCTGTTTGTGTAACTAAGAAGTGATACACAGTCATTCAAAATACAGGCAGGTGTCTGGCTGTGCTTCACAGGCTGCTTTGTCCTGGAGTGCCAAACTGTAACTGTAGATTATTTCATGAATACTTCCAATAGCTGTCAGAATCCATATTTTCATTAACACCTTTTATATTCAGTCTTCTGTATCCATTCTATTGCAATCCTACTTTTGGGGTGGTTTGTTTTTTTTTTTATAAACAGAACTAAACAGACTCAAAACTTTTGCTTAGTTTCAAGCACAATGCTGAAAAACTTACTGAATTTGCAGCTAAATTTATCAGTACATGGAATGAAATCAATTAATTATGGTTTAACGTATCTAAAAGTCTTCATCACTAAAAGATGTCAGCGGCCTCTGCCTTTCCAGTCAACCCACTTATTTTGGTTAATCCAGCTTCACTGTGAAAAGCAGTGTAATAAAAAGCTGACTGTATCAGTGGATACAGTTTCTTTTCAACAGGAAATCAGGAAAACAAGCAGTGGATTACGTGTCAACGTCTGTTTTTGCCTTAAAAACTCTCAATAGCTAGAAAAACACTGCTCATTCACAAGAAAACCTATAACTAAAAAAAATCTGAATGCCATAGATTCAAAACTACTTAGTGTACCGTACCTTTTGTATTGAAGATGAAACAGCTTTCTCCACACAATATCCACCATTCAAGGGGCAATGTGATAAGTATTTTACTTTAAAGACTTCTTTTTTAAATTTTTAAGTTCATGACTTAGAACCTTAAGTGGTTTTTAGAATTCATTTGAAATGTCCATTAACTTAGACTGCTATTCAGCACTAATATCTGCTCAATTACTGCATTAAAAGAACACAAACTATTAAGTCTGTAAAAATATTGTAATTTATTGAACAAAGACCATGTAAACAAAAGACAACGTTACAGTTTGTTAAAAAACAAAAAAACACCCCCCCAAAAAAGAAAAAACACAAAAAAAAACTCAACCCAAACAAACAAAAAAAAACAAAATGCAAAAAAAAACCCAAACACCAAAACAAAACCAAACCACCACAAGTTTGATTGATAACACGCTTTTAATTAAATAGTTTCACCTCTGACACATACTAAGAAAAGTACGTTTTCCATACAAAATCCTTCCTTACCATTACAATATAAATTAATGGTATATTCACTGATAAGTCATAGTAGTATCATGAGAATAATTGCATCCTGTTTTAAATTATGTTTAAGACAACATAAATCCCATCTAAGTAAAAACATTATTGTCCAAGGGTGGGCATAAATCACAAATCTGTAAACTAAGGCTGTCCATGGGAAAGAAATCAGCAGCAGGACATGCCTTCTGCTGCTGGGTCAGTGCAAGCTGTGATAAATACTACAGAAACAGAGAACCAAGAATTACAGAGCTTTTCTTCTTCAGGGAAGCAAAAGGTAAAGCAAGAAAACTGACCTGTTTTCCTAAGCCACAAGTTTGTTTGGAGTTTACATTAAAAACCCCCAAACAAATAGAAGTCCTTTGACTGTTTTGACAACTTTATCCAAATCAAAAACAAAACAAAGTTTACAGTAAAGAAATGCACACAGATCACTAAAGGATAAAATAGACTGTTTACTTATTTTAGGAATTATCAAAAAGCCTGGGAAGTTGAAGTGAGATTACAATTTTAAACTCAACTTTAAATAACAAATACTTGCAGTTTAGATTTACTATTATGTGCTATCAGAGGCAAATGGCTTAGTATTTCTCTGGCTTCCAATTCAACACCTTTAAGCATATGGCTAGAAGCTGTTATTCCACAATTGCAGGAAACTGAAAAATTGAGGGGTGGGAGGGGGAGGGAAAGCTGCAGTGTTGAAGGAACACTATTCTGAAAACCAGCAGAACTGGACTGAACTAGAAAACCCAATCTGGGAAATAGGGTCATCCCCTATTTCAGACATCTACACCCCTTGATATGAATGGCTTTCAGGTTCCTCAAGCTATAGGAAAGGCAGGAAGGAAAGACACTGGTCATCCAGCTCATGGACCTTTCTGGACTGCAAGGCAGTCAAAGTGCAGGAGAAACGGTGAACTGGGTAGGAAGTTAAAAAGAAAAAAGGAAAAGTCACAGAGGAAGTGTTAACACTTCCAGTTCAATATCCATGAAAGCAACCACCTCTCAAGCAGGGTATGTTGTTTTGACTTGTGCCACATTCTTTACTAGGGTACTTTCTTATTATACTCGCCTAAGTACAAGCTCATTTGGAGAATTATCTCCAAAACTTTCTGGTACCACTGAATGCAAAGTTTAAAAACAATAAAACCAGACCTACAAATAACCAACTCTTCAGACCTTGCCTCTCCCCTGCTTATTCTCTCTACTCCCTCATCTAGTAGACCCAGACACCAATACTTCACCAAGCTGAACAATTTAGTACGGTTCTCGACCAGCCTCGTTTCATCGTGTAACGAAGCGGGCCCAGGAGCTCCCCAGAGATCCGCTACCAGCGCTGAGAAACAAAAGCCAAACCCACCAAGGCACTGCCCTGCCCGCTGGTTTGCGGGGCCAGTCCCACCAGCACTGAAAATGATTAATGCGGCCAAGACACCGCTCTCTCCTACCCAGGCCAGCCCTCTGCAGCCACCCACCCACCGGCAGGACACCGTGTGCCCCCGAGGATTCACGGCTGACGGAAATCCTCCGGCCCGCAGCTGTGGGAGAAGGGAAAGGGAGCCGCTGCAGCCGGGAGGTTCCACCTCCTGCCCTCACCAGGCGGCTCGGCAGGGCCCGGTGCCCAGCCACCATCCTCCCCTAGTCCCTGGCCTCGGGGGAGACGAGCGCCGGCCCGTCCCGGCGGTGACAGGCCGGTATGAGCGCAACCGGGCGGCGGGGCCGCGGGTACCACCGGGAGGCTGAGAAAGGGCCTCGCATTGCGAAACAGCGGGAGACCAGCAACATCCCCCTCACCCCAAAGGCCTCTACCGGCACCTCCGTCCCCCGGGGTAGGGCGGGGCCTGGGACGCGACACTCGACCCCGCCCGGCGGGCGAGAGCCTCTACCCCCCCGGGAGCGGAGGAGGAAGAAGGGGGGGGACCGAAGGGAGGGGAAAGGAGCCGGAGCTGTCCCGCTGAGAGCCGGCTCCGCAGAGCCCAGCGGAGAAAGAGCGGGGCGGGAGGCCAGACACTGTCACTCACCCACCGCCGCCGCGTTCGTATCCGGCACCTGGGGCAGCTCCGCTCCCGGCAGCGCCTCCGCGTCCGGCCGGAACAGGCACCTCCAGCCGCTGCCCGAAGAAATCGATGGAGCGCGGAGCCATCGAGTGCCGCTCCCAGACCCCTTAAAGGCACCGCCTCCCTCACCTTCAGCCTCCCTCCATCTCGTCGTTAACCGGGTGGCAGTAATCTTGTGGAAGAGGAACGAGGGAGAGAAAATCGTAATAGCCGTGGTGACAACAGCAGGGAAAAGGACAATAATAATGACAAATGATAACAGAACCATCCTCTAGCGCTATACCCAGGTCCCCTCGGGCACAAACTCACCCAGCCGTGGTGGCAGTGTGGGGACCCACGGGCTGTGGTGTGAGGGGAGGGCTGGGAGTGCTTGGAGGAAAGCCCAGGGAGGTGACAGCAGCAGCTAATAATGCACGTCGTAGAATCTAGGTTTAAAAAGACCGTTAAGGTCATCAAGTCCATCTGTTACCCCAGCACTGCCAAGTTACCTTCCTTTTCCTATGAAAAAGTAAATACGTTTTCTAGCAAACCTGCTCTCTGGCTGGGAGTCCTCTGAACACAGGCTCTTCCTTAGGGAAAGGGTCTGGAGATCTCATTTTTCCCGTTTTGCTGGGATTGTTTGAATCTCTGTTGCAACAGCCAAGTTCAGACAAAATATGAATGGGAAGCAGTAGAAAAGCAGTGAGATTAAAAACACAGAAGGAGGAATCCAGCGCTCCGTTTTGCCAAACCAGAGCTGAAACAGGACGTTAGTGGGAAAACAAATTACCTTTCATAAAACCTCAAAGAACTTAAGCACTGTAAAAAAAAATATAGCCAAGAAACATCATTTTCCACACTTTTTTTTTTCCCAGATGGATGTTAAAGCCATCCAAAGTCAAATTAGTAGGCTGTAATATCTCGTCTCATGAATAAACAGCACTTTTCTGACTCTTTCCTCTAGGCTCTGTGAAACGTTACACAGGATCTCTCGGGGGAAAAATGAGAGCGTCTGGTACCTATCCTTTCTCTAAATATCTCCAGAGTTGTTACTGGTGACTCTGCAGTTTTCTGCCTATAACCAATGCAGAAAGAGAGCTTGTCAGTCCTCCAATAAAAGTAAAGTTGGCATCAAATTAAAAAAAAAAAGAAAAAAAAAAAAGTGTAATTCTCTGCCACCCATTTCAAAATTAGTGTTTCCTCCATGACAGCTTGTTTGCATTTTCTTATTAAAAGCCTGTCGTCAGATGTGCCAAATAAAACCACTGCTTGGAAAGGTTTGGTTGATCCACAAGGCTCCACCTACCACAATACCTTGGTCCCAGCCCTGCCTGATGCCCTCTGGGAGCGAATACCCATGCCTTAAAAACCCACTGATTTTAATGGGAGCTGTTTACCCAGAAGATCTTGTAATAAACAACCATGAATTTAGGTTTAGTTCAAGTGTCAAACTTCAGTGCCAGACTGAAGTTTTGATGCGGAGTTGGCTGTGTCTTCACCTCTATTGTAAATGCAAATACCCTAAGAGGTAAATCATGTGAAGACAAGGGGGCCTGAACTTGAGAAGAAACAACCCTCCCAATGTTAGCTGAAGTGAGAAAAAGCTCCAAGGCCTTTTTCTTCTGAAAATGTCACCTAGCCTCTCCTTTTTAACCTGCTGTTTCTAAACAGCTGCTCAGCAGTGTTTTTATCCAGATCTTAGTCCTGGAGAGCTTGTCAGAACAGAACAACCACACTAAACTCTGCAACAACAGAAGCTTTACAAGTGGTTTATGTAGGTTCATCACAGACATCCACATAGGTAAATCCTCTGATTACCAGGAGCAGTACCAAGGACTCTTATGATCTGCAGGGTCCCTGGAAATATTGTCAATGAAGAATTTCCTGTGTGCTGCAGTTTGTTGAATCTACTCTGGGTGATTTTCGCAGCTGATGTGTGGTGACCATCACTTAACTCTTCAGTGACTCCACAACAAAGCTGACAGTGACTGACTGTAGCTTTGACCCATTGGAGAAAACAAAGACCAGTCCCTCACATCTGTTTAGAACAAAAGGAGGAAAACTAGTGTTGTTGATATACGTCCATCTCTATCTCATCTATATAGCTAATAATATATATACCATAATATATAGTATATATTTGCTGTCATATATGATGCTGCTCATATAAATATATTACTCTATGGAACTCCAGATGCTATTGCAGAGATTAATCTGTGATGTTAAAACTGAGGAAAGGAATTACAAGTTGTAATATAATGACCTGGTAAATAGTGAGTATTATACCTCATAGAGGTCACAGGAGTAATTGCTCATTCATGCCTTTTTCTAATCCATTTATGCAGATTTGACAGTGATCTATAAACATTACATCTCTCTACAAAGTTGGGTAAACAGATTTGAAAGCCAAGAGAGATTATTATGATCACCTTGTAAAACCTGAATATTGAAAGCTGTAGAATTTCCTCCAGCCATTCCCACACCAAGATCTTTCTGTAGTAGCTTCTTAGAAAGACATCGTTTTATTTTAAAGAGCTGGAGAAATTCTGAATCTGTCATTGTACTTTTGAACATTTCTCAGTGGTTACCCTAACATGTACCATGCTACCCTAACATGTGAAAAATAAATGATAGAAATATAAATATTGTTTGGAAAGGTAAATTCATCTAGCTGCTGCATCTGTCCATTGCAAGCCTGTTTCTTGTTAACAGAAATATCTTCCTTTTGAAAGTGTCCGTAAAATACAGCAGATTTACACCATCACCTTCTCTTGATAAACTGTATGGATTAACTTTAATACTGCACTGTATAACTGCCTTTCTAGAACTGTTTTTTTCTGAATTCCTTTAAGCTTACAGCTATTGCCTTACTTTTTTGACAGATGGACATCCAAACCAGAGCTCTCCCTACTTTGTTTGAATTTGTGAGGTGAATATTATAACCAGGGAACTCTAAGCAACAGAAGAATGCTAAGAAGCAAAAAATTGAACATGACCATAAGAAATCACCCATTATACTCCTTTCCCTTTCCCCAAGACAGGATCAACTGTTACAACAACCGTTATGTTACAACATAACTCTTTTTTCAATCTTGTTCTTAAAGACTTCCCAGTATGGTGCTTTTGCCATCTCCTCAGGCAATCTTTCCCAGTGTTTCCCTATCCTATCACTAGAGGGTTTTTTTTTTTTCTGAATATATCCCCTGCTGCAATTTCAGTGCCTTAGTGAAAGGTCTGTCTTTACTGGGCTCAGAGAACAAACTGTTTGCTGCCTCCCTCTAGCAGTTTTTATGTATTTAAAGGTTCTGTCTCCTGTATGTTCTGCTCTTCATTAATCCCAACAGTCCTACTAGTATCCTGATATTTAATGTTTTCTCAAGCTTGGTCTCCACTGCACTCCAGTCACTCAATGTCATTCTGGAAGTGCAGTGTTCCAAGTGAAGCATGCCTCAGGTGAAAAACTTTAAAAAGGAAAAACTAAAATTGAAGTGCCTATTTTCAGGCTGTCTTCCTGTTCCTACCCCCCTTGTATGGCATTTGCCTTTTTATAGCAGCATAACAGCAGTGACTCCTGTTTAGCCTGTGATTCACTCTACTTTTTTTCTATGCAACTGTAATCCTGTTTACTTTTCCCCTTCCTGTATCTGGGGAACTGATGATGGTATGTCTAATAGGCTACACTTGCACCTATTCTATAATCTTTAGTGTTTTTCTTAAAACCAAAAGATCTCACTTTGAAAAAATCCCTCTACATTCTAATTGTGCTCTCTAACACACTTTTAGCTGCTCTCTTCATTTCCTCTTCAAATATAACAAGCTTAGTCTCTATCCTATTCTTCTTCAGATGTTTTATAAATATCAGATACAGGATAGACCCCTGAGGGAGGGTCTCAATTTTGATCGTGGCCTCATTTTGCTAACTCTTCCTCAGCCCTGCTTTTTCTGATCCATGGAATTTTCAATCTGAACCATATTGTCTTTGCTTATTCTTGAGAAACATTGCCAAAAGCTTTACTAAAATGAAGATATGTGACTTTTTAATACTTCTGTTCTTTGTATAACACCTATTACTTTATTGTAAAAGTAGATCAGGTTGGTTTATGAGGGTTTGTTCTTGACAAATCAATGTTCATTGTTACTTGTCTATCTTTCTTCTAATGCTGACAGATGGTTTGCTTGATAATTTCCACAAACTGAAGCTACCTGATCTATAACTCACCAGCTCCTCCTTTTTTCCTATGCATACTTAATTTTAAGCCTGATTGGAGTTAAGAGGGCTGTTTCCATGACTGTGAGGTGTCTTCTGAAGCAGATTGATAACCTGCCATAGCTGTGGCAGTAGAACCAAGAACACAGCAAAGAAGCCCAACCTGTCCTTGCCTGCTGTAACAAATCTATAATCCCTGCGCAACCTTTCTTCACCTCACTGGTTCCACTTCCCTTTATTTTCTTGGTCCATTATGGAACATGGCTGCAGATGTTGGGTTCTAGCAGATGCCTTAGATTTTATAAAAAAATCATGCAGGTATTTCAATTTCCAAGCAGATATCCTGTGTTGTATTATGTTCCCAAGACCAGCTGCTTTCTGCTTCCTCCTGAATCAAAAATCACCCGGATCCATGTTGTCAAACCAACATCCAGGAAGTAATCTACTTAAATCTAACTCTTCTATTTCTTTTTTTAAATAAAAAGGTACAAAAATAAGTTCTTTGACCTTGGCAGCATTTTGACCATGCTCCAGGAGTTTAAACCAGAAGCCTTTATTATGAAGTGAAATATATTTATCTTAGCTGAAAGGCAAGAGAGAAAGAAACATCTTACTGATCAGTGTTTTCCCCCAGATGATTTCTGGTATGCATCAAGAGAAACAACATAAAAATTAATGCACACAATATTTTGAATTTTCATCCAGAACATGTACAGTCACTTTTCCACATCAAACAAAAAATACAGTCTTTTGCACTTTAAACTATTTCCAATAGTACACAGAATTCTCTCACTGTTCTACTTTCTTGGCAAACACCACCATAATTCTTCCCTTTCAAGGCCTGTCCAAGGAATCT